TACTACTACTACTACTACTACTACTACTACTACTACTACTACTACTACTACTACTACTACTACTACTACTACTACTACTACTACTACTACTACTACTACTACTACTACTACTACTACTACTACTACTGTCCAATCCAACACGCAATGCCAGTATCGGGATTACTACAGGATTTCCGATTATGCTGACGATTGGGTCACAGCGGCGCTAAGGGGACAACCGACAGCTTTCAAAGAAGGAAAAGCGGATTTTTCACTCTCCAGCTTGGCAGCACAAGCAGGTACGACACAAATGGCTCGGCTGAATATAAGAATATACATATATAGCCACAGTGGATGTTCCATTCTTCATCCGGATCTTGCATTCCTTCTTTCTCACTTTTTGACTCTCTTATGCACTCTCCTGTTTTTATTTTAAAAATAAAATTATTCCAGAGGCCGCGAAGCATGGAATGGTCCTATGTCATTCGGCAACTTGAATTTGCGTTGGATCTGTGCCAGGCTGATGGCACGGACTCATCATCCAGTAGCCATGCTTAAGATGCAAGTGTTTGCTACTATACTGGTTCTTTGGAAGGACAAGAACAAGACCAAGGCATTACTTCTACTTATGATGATGGATACGGACAACAATGACAACGAATCAATGGGAGGAGGACAAACGGAAGCAGCAAAAGGAGCATCGTTTGTTGCAGCCATGCCGCGGATACAGAAGCCGCTCAGGTTGTATTTGAAAATCTCAAAGTGGTTTCCAATCCCAGCACTACTACTAGTTTTGCAATGGTCAAGGCAGCATTGGAGTCCGTATATTTGACTCTTGGAATTTTGTGTGAGGATGCTGGTGGATTGTGGAATGAAACTGTAGGCAAATACTTGGATGGAGCCGGACCATGCAATGCTACTACTGCCACTGATGAAGCACCAAACTCTTCTAATTTTACAAATCCCCCAGCCATTGAAGAGAGTGACAACCTTCCAGATGATTCTGCAATAATGATTTCAAGTCTATGGCTTTGGTTGGTAGTTGCTTTGTTGGTGATATCTCCTCAGCTGTAGGCTACGCACAAGAAGAAAATGCGAAGGGCACTTGATAAACCTACCTATATAGCTAAAAACATGTTGGTTTTGGTAACGATATTCTGTAGTTTTGTCTATGCAATTTCAAATTACATTATCCAACTTGCCGTACATTATCCAACTTGCTGTTTGATACCGATATATGATTTGATGATTTCGATCTTTTGTTGCGCTGGGAATGATTTCTTCTAACCCAAACTACGCAATACCGTAGTCCTAACACTGTAGCACTTCTCTACTGCCGCAAATAACGACAAGGGCTGTACCATAAAAGGAGGGTTGGGAATAATGGGATGAGGAGGGTGAATCCTTCATAGGATGCGACACTTGTACTCTTTGGTACGAGGAGAAGCTTTTTATTTCTACTCCACCAGTACACGTGCCCGTGATTGCTATTTGAATCATCATGCAGTAAGGGTACCCTTTTAAGAGAGTATTGTGCGATAGCGCAAAATGTCTCTTGAGGCGGTTCCCCTCTGTTAGCATTGAAGCATCTAGTTCCAAAGGACGACACAACACCTCTTCCTCAGCGTCCGAATCATCTGGATCATTAGGGGAACCACCTGTTGGAGCAAGAATAGCCTCAACTGTGATATCTTTCTTGCCACTCTACTGTAACAAATCCTTCTGCTGCATCTCCCAGAGAAAGAATGGTTTGCAGACGAAGGACAGACATATGTGCATGAAATGGTACGGGTGACAGACGGACTGTGAAATTTGTGTCTCGGCAAAATTTGTCTCTTTAGTAGTAGAGGGTGTTTCTTTTTAAAAAAAAACTCTTAACAGGGTACCCTTACTGTATATAGTTGTGTATGTGAATAAATCTTGCTGCTCTGGACCCTCAGCAACGCGTCTGTCTGTTGTCCAATTTCCACGGGGGGAAGCACTTTTCTTTAGTCTTCCCCCATTATGTTTTGCAGTCAAATTTAGGGGCCCCGAGTTCTAATACTTTTGGGTCAAATCAAAACAGTACAACAGATTCCAAACCGACAACAGGATTTGAAAGACGACAAATCATTTCAAATGAAACACGACAAATCAATTTGAAACATGACAAACTCGAATGAAACACGACAAACTTGAATGAAACATGTCGAAAGACGACAAATCAATTTCGAAAGACTTGCAAAGTGGCAGGATACTTTCCGTCAACAAAAAGGAACCATTGAAGAACCTAACATCACCTTGCAAGTTACCAAGATCTTGTCCGACAATGTCCAAATCTCAAAACAAAAGGACGTGGACGTGGACGCGGAAGTTACGGTAATCGTCAAAACACTTCCAATCCACCCTATCCAAACTATTAGAATCAAGGAACTCAGAATCAAGGATATCGCTATCCTCCAAGATCTCAAGGCAACTATCAAGGATGATCTTCTGGAAACAGTTCTCAGACCCAAGGACATGTTGGAACGTGTATTAGATACTTAGAATGGACTAGTCAGATTAAGGTAGCCTGATAGGCGCAGCGGTTTGATTCCGTAATACCTTATATTTGACATGGTAAGGTTATGGGATCGAGTCCTTGATTCACATTGCCCTTGTTGATCTTGGAAATGAATGCCGACTGTCTGCATTGACAGGATAAAGATGGACGTGTGAGGGTTTTGACACCGGAGATGGGTGTGCGAGACTGAAGGGCTATATCTAAGTATCAAATAAGGGAGGATGTTGGAACGTGTGTTAGATACTTAGATTGGACTAGTCAGATCAAGGTAGCCTGATAGGCGCAGCGGTTCGATTCCGTAATACCTTATATTTGACAAGGACACTTTGGGCAACAAAATCATCAAACAAGTCGACTTCCAAGCAACAGATCTCCAGGAAATTTCCAACACAGCAACCCTCAAAACGATCATGATGCTGAATCCCATTACAATCAAGACGGAAATCAAGAAATGCACAACACAGCAACCCTCAATGGGCAAAGAAATCATCAAACAAGTCAACCTCCAAGCAATAGATCTCCAGGAAATTTCCAACACAGCAACCCTCAAAACGATCATGATGTTGAATCCCATTACAATCAAGACGGAAATCGAGCCAAAGGCTCAGTTCCTGGTGGAATGTATTACAATGATCAGGAAGCGGGATGCTTAGTTCCGGTTGGAACTGTCCCCAAAGAGGGCCAAGGCGGAATGCCTTCTGCCAAAGAGCAGCATGATCAATTTGTCCAACCTTGTGAACGGCAAGAAATGTATCCTCCTCCTGAAGACTCGTATCCTTCAGATGAATTGTATCCTCCAACGGATGGTCAAGGCTATTATCCATACGATGATGCCTCTGAACATTACCACTACTCTGATGAAGCTCATTGACCTTCACTCCAGAACAATACTCGTTCACAGTCTAACCGCCTAATCAATCCTTTCCTTGAACCAAATCTTTCATCTTTTGCTACCGCATCGACCCTTGATCAAGGTCCGATGACACACGAAGAAAAGCACTTTCTTTTGAATGACTCTTTCATTTGTGTACCAACTCCAAAACAGACGTTGGGATATACAGGTGAATCAATGAACAGAAAGAAACTAACTCCTATTTCTTTGATGCAATGGGGACTGATTGGAGGCAAACAGTCTGCGAAACCCCTACGAGTATTGTTTGATTCAGGTGGTGAAAATACCATGATTCATGCACAATGCATTCCACAAGGCGCGACGGTAAATATTGATCCTAATGTTAAACCTTGTGCGACTGGATCTGGAAGTTCCAATGCTAACAAATCTATTGAACTTTGAGACGGACTTTTTCCAGAGTTTCATTGACATTGGTAAATCTACGGTGAAACAGTTACAGTTTTTGATGCACCAAATTGTCCACATGATATTGGTCGCGACTTTCTCAATGAACTTGGAATTGTAATCGATTTTCAAAACCATCAAGTCAAATGGATTGACAAAATCATTTCCATGAAGTACAAGACCCACTTTCAAAATCACACCAACTGGACGATTGCATTGGATCGCGGCTACTTGGATATTTTGGATGACAATGACATGGCGGATAATGATTTCATACTCGATGCAAAGTATGAAGCAACAACTGGTGTTGAAGTTGCTTCCAAACAAGTCCACTTGACGAAAACACAACAAGATCAATTGGCAACAGCATTGGAAAATACGCAAGAACTTTTTGATGGCAACCTTGGACACTACAAACACTATGGCTAGGAAGGGTGAAGGTTTCCATTTGGCGTTGGCCTACTACAATACCCATCAACCACGGGCGGCCCATTCTACCACTCAATTTGGGGGCTGCTCGACTTCTGCCTTCAACTTACCCTACTACCCAAGCCTTCCTTCGCCACTGTCAACTGCACGACAGTTACCGGTCTCGTCCTTTCCCCTTGACGGTTGAAGAGCAAATGGACTTTTGGAGTCGCACTCTTAAGAACAAGAGTTCTGAGCCCCACGGCCTCCATAGTGGCCACTTCAAGGCAGGCGCCCTCTCCGAACTGTTGGCTTTTTGTGATACGGCGTTTTGGGTCCTTCCATTCCGGTCATGCCATGCTCCGGAACTCTGGAAGAACCTGATGACCTTTGCAATTGAGAAGAAGCCTGGTGACTTCCGCCCACAAGGGATGCGGACCATCCAGCTGTTCAACTCGGAGGCTCAAGCCAACTACAAGAAGGCGGGTCGGGCTGCAATGAAGAATGCTGAAGAGGATGACATCATCCCTAAAGGACAGTGTGGGTCACGGAAGCAGCACCAGTCCATTGATCTCGCCCTTTCCAAACGATTGATCTGGGACTCTTCCTGCTGGATCTCGAATGACGCGACGTCTTGCTTCAATCGCATTGTTCACTGGGTAGCAAAGACGGCCTTGCAGAGATTTGGCCTGCCAGTCACTGTCACAAACCTAATGTTTGATATCTTGGCAAAGGCTAAACACAGGGTCCGAACTGGCTTCGGCGACTCGGATCGGACCTTCGGGCCCACTGGCGATGTTCCCTTCCAGGGCTGCGGTCAAGGCAATGGAGCAGGCCCGTGCATCAGGGTTGCAATCAGTACCATCCTCATTGACGCCATGGAGGCCGAAAGATTTGGGTACAAGAGCCAAACTGCCCTCACCAACGAGGAGTTCTACGCTTTGTGCTTCTGCTTTGTTGATGACACCGAAGTCATGGAGTCAAACAACAACGTGAAGACGACTGGCGAAGACCTCCTTTCTTTTGTACAGTCGGCTTTGGACCTTTGGTCGGGTGGTATCAGTGCCACTGGTGGAGCTATCAACCCGGCGAAGTCCTTCTGGTGGCTGATTGATTTCAAATGGCGGCCGTAATGCCTGGTAAACTGACCCTCCAAGACCCTACTGGGCCTTGGGCGACACTACGACGCCTCCAACCAGATGAAGCTGAACGGACCCTGGGAGTCATGATGGCCCCACTTGAGACCGGAACTGCGCAACACTTTGCCCTGCTTGCCCTGCTTGCCCTGCTTGCCCTGCGGGCGAAGGCCAAGAACTGTGCAGCCAAGTTCCGTCCCCAACATCTACTTTGCTATGATGTTTGTACCTTGCTCAAGGCAACCGCCTTGAAAACTTTGGAGTACAAGTGCCCCTTTCCACACTGGGCCGCTCCGACTGAGTGTCCATCATGTCACCAATCCTTCAAGCGAGTTTGCACAAAGCTGGGGTTTGCCGTTCCTTTCCCCGCGTCGTGGTCTTTGCCCCTCTGAAGTACCAGGGACTGGGTATCCCGCATCCCTTCGCCCTTCAAGTCTTCCACCATCTCAGTGTTCTGATGCGCCATTCGGCCAACCGTACCAAGACCGGCCAGTACCTGGAGGCCAACCTACAGTCCCACCAACTCGAAACGGGCACCTCCTTTCCCCTTCTTCAACAAGAACCCACCAACACCGGAATCCTTGCCTCCGAAACATGGCTCAAACAGGTTTGGATCGAGCTCGACTCATTGGGCATCAGAGTCAAGATCTCCTCCCCTCCCTTGTCCCTCCACTGTGCCAACGATCCTCTCTTGATGGACATCTTCATCAATGCCTTGGTCAACCAAGAGGACTTGCTGTGGCTCAACTGGTGCCGCCAATACCTCCAAGTCACCACCCTCTCGGAACTCACCACCGCCGACGGGTGTTCCCTGACGGCAGCTTCTCTTGCCGACCAACACTCCGGACACTTTGTGACCAGCTACAATTGGCCACGAACCCGACGCCCTGGCCCCTCTCATTGGGACCTATGGCGACGCGTCCTCTCTCAAGCCGATCCCCGCCCCTACAGCCGCCGTCGCCGATTGATGCAGCCCCTCGGACCGTGGTCTGATTCGCTAGACCGATGGACTTGGCTCCTCTCTTGCACCTCTTTGATCCTCTTCCACCGGACGGGAAACAACCTGGCAATCAACCTACCCATCAACACGCGTTCCCATAAGACCTTCCGCAGGGATCTTCATCATACCTGGACGGGAACCCTTCCTGGGGACGTCCAAAGAGCATCAGTCAACCTTCACCCACGGACAGCCTACGTCACTGTCACGGGCACAACCCCGGTAGATCCACCAGATCAGGAGTCCTTGCCAGCCTCGATCCTTCTCATCTGGAGGGAATTAGCAGCTGACATGGACGACGATTGGGGATGGGTCCCGGAATACATCTAAATTGAGGGTGACAAACAAGTCCTTCTGGAGGCACTGGAGAAGGGAAAGCTATGGGTGATCAGCAATGGCTCCTTCAAGCTACAAGTGGGCACAGCCGCAGTCCAGCTACAAACTAGACGTGGAGGGCACGTCATCTGGATCAAGTGCCGTACACCTGGTAAACGAGAGGATCAGAGTGCGTACCGGAGTGAACCTATCGGTCTGTTAGCTGGTACCTTGGTGGCTTCTTGGCTCCACCTACGCCTACAGTCCCTCGCCAAGCCACGAGTCTGTGTGGCGTGTGATGGGATTGCCGCTCTTTGCCAAGCCTTCTCGACTTGGCCGCTGTCTCCAACCGCCCCACACTTCGATCTCTTGTCCTCCATCCGCGAGGCCCTCCGAGTTTCCAACATATCCTGGGCCGAACAACACGTGGGCGGCCATGCTGACCGAACCAAGACATGGCGACAGATGTCTTGGTGGGAACGACGGAACTCCAAGGTGGACGACATAGCCCAGGGCTACGCCGACGAGCTGATCGCCACCGACGACACGATCGCCACCAACCCCCAAGCTCTGCTCCGAACCCTGTGCAACAATGAGAAGGTCTCCTGCCTGGCCTTGGAATCGGTCGACGAAGCCGTTGTCCTGCCGGAATTGATGGAATACTGGGCAGCCAAAGGCCGCCTTGCTCCCAAGCACTTCCAATCGGTGGACTGGCCGATCATGCACCGAGCAATGAAGTCTCTGAAGCCCCCCAAACAGCGTTTCATCACAAAACACCCCGTTGGCATGTGCGGAGTCAGCAAGTTCCATAAACGATGGGGTCTCGACTCTGAGAACCGATGCCCCTTGTGCGGACTGGAGGAAGACCACCTACACGCCCCCCCGCTGCCCTTCCGACCGGGCCAAGACCCAGTGGCAGCTCCTACTCCAAGAACTCTAAGAATGCTTCCAGTCCACCACCACTGCTACACCCATCGCCCAATTCCTTGGGGCCCTTCTTTGCACCATCCGCACCCCTAAAAACCAGCCTCAAACAGAGACTCCGTGGTACCGCCTACACGGAATATATTCTTCCGCCCTCACTCAAGTCTGTGAGGCTCAACTCCGCCTTGGCCCCCAATGTCTCCTTGAAGGCCTTCTCGTCCACGGCTGGGCCGACCTCCAGCAACAATTCTACCGCTTTCGCGGTAGTCGCCGATCCGGTAACCGCTGGGCTGCCAATCTATCTCGACAGCTCATCCTTATTGGTAAAGGCATGTGGAAGCATTGCAATGATGTCTTTCATTCTGACAACAACATCGTCAACCAACAGCGCGCAACTGCTCTCAATCGACGCATCCACGAAGAATTTGATATGGGTCTTTGCGACCTACCCCGGAAACATCGTCGCCCTGCCATCCGTCGATCCCGCCTTGTAGAATTCCTCCGACTCCACCTGGCGGACAAGGAGGAATGGGTCCTCGTCATCTCCGAAGCCCGCCGCAAAATCAGACGATCTCTTGCATTGATGTGGGAACTGACCCACCCTACTCCTCGCCCAGCAGCCCCCTGACTTACTTGTCTACATATTTCCCAAAGTGATTCTGGTACATCACAAGCCACACGTATCCCAGTCGAACACACACATATGCTATTGAGTCCGGAATGCCGAACTTCAAAATGAGGTTTGTTGATGCGAAAGACAAATCAACAGTTTGTGATTCCAGTGAAGCTTTCCATCAATATCTCCACACATACCACAAATTTGTTGACAAAAATGCAACGGAGAGGAGAAAATGTATAGATGAAGATACTGTGTGAATTTTTTGTCAGCGTTGAAAGTCGCTTTGGTGGGGAATATGGTGAAGTCGAAAAAGCGGAAATAAAATCATAAACAGTCTTTCCATAATATATCCATCCATACTGAATTTGAAATTACAAAATTGCAGCAAATACAATGGATCATGTGTACGGAGATAAAACTTTAACCATTCATCTAGCAATAGTCTCCCTGGTGAGCAACAGGGGGAAGTTGAGCAACGGTTTTGCAAGCAACAGTTGAAATGATGATGTGTGTGAACATTTGTTGAAGCGGACGACGCAAAGGCAATTTGTATTATATGTATTCGTACATGGATATATTCCGTGCCAGGAGGTTCCGTGGTAGGAAGTGAGAACCATACAGTCGGGAATTCACAATGAATCCAACTTCCAATGCTATCTGTGAACGTATGCATCAGACTGTTGGCAACATTCTACGAACAAGATTCAACAAAACTAACATGGCTCCAAACAGTCAGACAGCTAATCAAGCCGTCGATGATGCTCTCGCACCATGCAATGATGCCATGAGATGTGCTGTTTCTCCGTCTTTGAAAAACAACACTCCAGGTGAAATCCTGTTTGCTAGTGACATGTTGCTCAACATTCCTGTCATTGTCGATCTTTTGAGTATACAGGAAAAACGACAATTGATGGTCAACGAAAATCTACGGCAACAAAATGCTAAACGAAAAGAGTTTGACTACAACGTTGGTAGTGAAGTTTTGGTCAAGAATTTCAATCCAAGTAAATTGGATCCAAAGATGGAAGGTCCGTATCAAATTACTCGTGTGTTTACTAACAGAACTGTTGAAATTTGCAGGAGTCCTCAAGTCTTTGAGAGACTGAATATACGGCGCCTTGTGACATTTTGTTGAGTCTAGCAAGCGATGAGTTTGAATCGCCTGTTGCCTCAAGAACCACCTCTCGTATGAACTGTGGATGTAAGGGCGCCTTTGTGACTACACTTTGATACGGAATGAAATGATAATACTATGATCTGCGACAATCTTTGATCATAGAGGGGAAGAGTGAAACGGCCCATAGAACAGGCCCAATGTATTGGGACTGTAGAAGCTCCTTCGGTTGGGTACAGAACTAGGCCTTAGTCACGTCCACGGAAGCATTTTGAAGTGCATCTCTATAGACATCCATAATTTTCTCTTTGACTCGTCTGTGAAGGTTGGGTGAAGTGCCACCCACCAGAGGAGATTAGTTTGGTGATGACATGAGCAAATATTATGCAGGAGATAAAATAACTGACTCATTGATTGACCGGCAAAATGCGCGAGAACAAAACATATTTCCACCATTCAGTGACGAGAATTCTCAATACCAAACGAAACAAAATTTGGATTGACCGAAGGCTGACAGATGGCGCGTCTGCAGGGTATAGATCTCGCGAAAACGTCCAGAAAAAAGTTCGTGTCCAAGCCATGAGGAGGCAGAGGAGCTTATTCGCTCCGTTCAACGAAAGGCTCAATATTCTATTATAGAACACAGATGAAGTCTGTGAGCAAATCTGGGCAAAAGAAGAATAAAATAACAGAAATGCAATTATTGTTTGTAACTAAAAATATCGGAGCCGATTGCCAAATAAATGGGGCGCATTTAACAATCCCGCAACTGTTCGATTGCTTAATTCGCCCATATCTCTACTGGTACATTTGGGTTGGAAGTTATTTCCGTCGCAATTCGAAAAAAGCAACATAAAACCCACCTATGGTACTCTTAGCAAGCTATAATCATGCCAAAGAATCAGAAAGAGCACTCCTCAGGAAGACACAAATCGTCGCGATCCACTGGAAGATCATCTTCTCGTAAATCGGACGAAGCGCGAGAGCTGGACGAAGGTACATCGGCATCATCGAACGCATCCGGTCCAAGATCAACAAACAAAGTCTCTGGTGATCGCAGCAGAAAGGAACGAAGCAGTGGAAGCAGCAGGGCATCCAAGCCTGGTGCTATTCCTGAAAATGCAATCAGCAGTTCTGGTGATCGCAGCAGAAAGGAACGAAGCAGTGGAAGCAGCAGGCCATCCAAGCCTGGTGCTACTCCTGAAAATGCAACTAGCAGCTCTGGTGATCGCAGCAGAAAGGAACGAAGCAGTGGAAGCAGCAGGGCATCCAAGCCTGGTGCTATTCCTGAAAATGCAACCAGCAGATCTCGTGAACGCAGAAAGGAAGGAAACGCTGCGAAGTCATCCAAATTTGGTGCTATTCCTGCTGAGAATATCGGCAGTGTTGCAGCTGACGGAAAAAAGGAACGCAGGTCTAACCGAGCACCGAGACCAGGAGCTGTTCCCGATGTTCGGATGACTGATCGAGAACGAAGAAAAGAAGAAAGAGCTGCTAGCTTGTCCAACCAAACACGATCAACTTCCAGCACGGGGGATTTGTTGGAGGCGACAACCGTGGAGGATGACCCAGCAGGAGAAGCCATGCAGCTAATGAGACGAGAGTTTGAGCTAAAAGAAAAACAACGTCTAGAAGAAATTGAACAGCTCAATCGGCGACTTGAGGATGCTGAGAGAGCAGAAAGAGAAGCAAACGAGGAAGCACAGCTAGAAGCACAGGAAGAAGCACAGCAAGAGGGGCGAAGGAAGCGAAGAAAACGCAATTTCATCATTGTTATAGTCTGCGTGGTTGTTCTCATTGCCGTTGGCGCCAGTGCATTTTTCGCTCTCAGCAAGACTGAAGCTACCGAAGATTCTACGACTGCAAATGACAACACCAAAGATCCGACTAAAGCACCATCATCTGCCACAAATGGTCCAACCGTAACTCAGCTATACAACCCACCAAGTGAAGACGTCTGTCTAGCGATCTCCAGGAATCTAACCATCGCGGGACAGGTGGACTTGGATCAAAGCGATTTTGACATGGCCTTTGATGTCACATTGGAAACGAATGGTGATATCACTCAACAAGAAGTCCAAACACTTTTGGATGCCATTCAAGCCTGGCTAATGCCTTCCTTGGCTGGATGTTCCAATCAAACTTTCAGTCGCCGCGGACTTCTAACAACGAGCAACCAGTCAATGAGCAGAGCTCCTGTTGCACAGCATAGACACAGACAACTTGCAATTGGGGAGAACCGTTTTGTCATTTTTAATGCCTTTGTCACGGGTCGAGAGGATCCCAATATGGTCTGTACCGACACACAAGACTCGAATCTATGTCACAGAATTGTGGTAAAAGTAACTGCCATTTTGAAAGGGCCGGTCCAGCTGACGGACATTGTCCTTCTGACCTCTGATCAAGTAATTGAAAAACTGAAGGAGGAAGAACAAGATGATGGCAACTTGAAAGATCCCTTGGGATTGGGCAACCCATTCTCCGAGGTGCAGTTGATTGATATTGGTAAACAATCAGCAACAGCGGCTCCGGCTCCAGTGGTAGAGGCAACTTCGAATCCTACACAAATATCAGAACAAGCCCCAAGCTCCTCACCGTCAATTCTCACGCTACTTCCATCATTTAACCCTTCCATTGCTCCCGAGACTGGTCCAACACCACCTTCATCGGCACTTCCAAGTGTCGTGCCATCAAATACGCCAAGTGTACGCCCCTCATCCTTACCTTCGTCGTCACCAACACTGGCTCCAGTAGTGGGCCCAACTCTCTCACCCTCAAGCGCACCGTCGAGAGTACCATCGAAAGTACCAAGTTTGTCTCCAACAGCTACAGCGAGCAAAGTTCCCTCCGCAAATCCATCAATTGCGCCAAGCGTGGCTAGATCTTTCGCTCCATCAATCCAACCGAGCAATGTTGCATCTGGCATTCCATCAATAGAGCCGAGCATGGTTGCATCGGGTACCCCAACAATGGAGTTGAGCATGCTTCCATCTGTTGCTCCGTCAATGAACCCGTCGCAACCATGCTTGCAAAGCAACAGCGAACTCAGTAGCGGAGTCAGCAACTGGTTTGTTACAAAATCCGTCGAGAACACATATGGTCCGATTGGAGACTGGTGTTTTGGTCCTGGCGTGACCAGTATGACTCAACTTTTCTCGCGTCGTTCCACTTTCAATGAAGACTTGTCATCCTGGGATGTTTCTTCTGTGACCACCATGTTTTACATGTTCGAACAAGCATCATCCTTCAATCAAGATTTGTCATCCTGGGATGTTTCTTCTGTCACAAATATGGAAGGGATGTTTGGGCGTGCATCATCATTCAATGGAGACTTACTGTCTTCCTGGGATGTTTCTTCTGTCACAAATATGAAATACATGTTTTGGGGGGCAACGTCGTTCAATCAAGACTTGTCATCCTGGGATGTTTCCTCTGTCACAGATATGGGATACATGTTCAGAGATGCATCAAATTTCAATCAAGACTTGTCATCTTGGGATGTTTCTTCTGTGACAGACATGAGATTGATGTTCCGTTCGGCATCATCCTTCGATCAGAATCTTTGCGCGTGGGGCTCGCGCCTGTCAAGCAATGCCAACGTTCAAGCCGCGTTTTTGAGCGCCACCAGCTGCCCGTCGCAATCCGATCCAGACCTTGTTGCGAATCGACCATCTTCAGTTTGTCACTTTTGTGTCTACCGGTAATGGTATCTTCACAGTAGTGCACGAGGTACGAGTACTCACTCAGAGACAATCCTTGCTGACAAAATTGTCAAATTGTGATCTATTCGAGGTTTTGATGGATTTAGGTTAGAATTGTGTGTAGAGCTTTTGTTTCAAAATTGTTGTTTTCAAAAAGCCCGTTGCTTATTTGAAAAAGTCATTGTTTGGTTGAAAGTATTCAAACAACCACAGCCAACGATCAATATCTGTTATCGACTCAAAAGTCTACCCTATTTGGATCAAAGATTGATTCGAGCCATTCAAAGATATGACTCTCCAAGGTGAAAAATTTGTCACTCCCTCTCGCCAAGAGAGTCCCATCCCATGAATTGACTACAAGAAAGTCTGATGAACTGATCTTTAAGTAGAGGTTTGGTGAAATATCGGCCATTTGCTCTTTCATAGAAACATGCTTGATGATGATGGTTTTCGCCAATATGTGGGAAGGAAAAGGATGTAGGCGCACATACAAGTGCTTATTATTAGTACTTGGTCTTGTTCAGTGATCTCAAGGCAACTATGATTGTCTTTGAAAACGGGGCATACAACCTCTGGAGTGTCAATAGACAAGTGGAATCCCAGGGAACTTAATTCGTTTATCATAATCATAACAACAATGACCGCTTCTAGGGATGTAGCTGATGTAATATACTCGGCTTCAGTTGTAGATAAAGCAACCAATGTTTGAAGTTTTGTATTTTTATTGTTTTTTAAAAGATATGACAAAATATGAGATTTTACGTTCCTTGAAAAACTATACAAGTACAAAGTTTTGACACGCACCATATCGAATTTTGATCATGATGTCAGCATTTGACATGAGACTGTCAAACAAGATAGTGAGTATAGACGGGCAGATGACAAAAGGAGTCTTTGACTTTGAAGAATCTTCAAAAAGTAGGAGACACAAGATGTAGGGTTGGGGTTGACGTGACTGTCATATTTGTCACCGTAAATGGCCCTTTGGATAACGAGAATAATGTAAGGATAGCAAAGGGGTTCCTTGTGGGAAACACGCAAAAGTCACAAGGGACTTTAGCATACTGCTTCCTCAAAAATGGTGGATGAAGCATGGTTCTTGGAGGAGGTTGAGTCTTCCTTCTTTGAAAGCAAGATTGTCTTCTTGTTCTTGCATTGTTCGATTTGATCTTCTGCGAACTTGACAAGGTCCTCTAGAGTTGCCGAAGACACATCAAAACCATGCTCATCATGAACAAGATCGGCGGTATTGTTGTTGTCAAGAGATGATGGCATCTGATAATCATAATCAGGAGGAAAAGATGGAATCCGATTGTTGATTTCTTGGATTCTTGCAGAAAATTGATGTGTTGTCCATGTCGACTTCTTCCCCATCTTACATACTAGTAGCTTCTTTTGGCATCGGACTGCATTCTTTGGGAAAAATTGTCTTCTTAAGAGCTAGGATAGCATTGTCAAAATCCTTGTAAGTGATTGTACCCTTGTTTGTTGGGATTGACGAAATATGAGTTTTTACGTTCCAAAGGAAACTATTCAAGTACAAAGTTTTTGACATGTGCGATCGGACTTTGATCGTGATGTCAGGATTCAACGCAAGTCTGCCCGACAATCTGTATCCACACAAAAAGGGAATGACCCTATACAAGTGAGCTATCGGTGTTGTGTACAATGCAGTAGGGAATAATACAAGATGTCCCAAAGTACTGCATTCAACACAGAATCCTCGTAGAAGTCGAATAGAGTTCTGTAAACAAGGGATTTTCCAAGTGAAAATCGTTGAACTCACTTTTGTGATTGAATCATCAGTTCAAGCCAAACATTAATCAAATAGGAACAATTTCACTCAAAGTATACCTAGACACAGGAGAACTATTGTCATGAAAGTGTTGTACAGTCGATTACAAATTTAGATTGCAGAGAGTTTGTTCTGAGCGCTAAAGGCACTCACGATAGAGCACATTTTGTTTTATTCTAACATTCAATCACAAAAGGCAACAAAACAAATTTACTTCAAGAACAGCACGGCCTTATCTACAAAGGAGTGAGTGATTCGTTGACTATGGGACGTTCTTCTTCCGGTGGAGGAAAAGGACGTGTAACTCCTCATAAAGTCAAGAGCAATTCGAGTTCAACAGTTGTGAAACATCTATTTTCAACAAAAGATGAGAACAATGGAAAGGCAAGATCGTTGTACGAAGATGCCGAAGAAAGAGTGATTGACTACATCCAAGCTTCTGGAATGAAATGTTCCAAAGACATGGTGAAATCAATTCAAGATGGAAAGTCGATCGGCTTCAATGCAATCGCTCCAACATTGAATGCTCCAACTCAAACTGAAGCTATTGCAAGAGAGCCAGAGATGGCTCAAAACAAGATTCTCTATTCTGCTAAGCTGGACGAGAACATGGGAAGATCAGCCTACTTCGAAACAAAAAAGAGAACTGTCAAATCAAACATCATGCTTAAGTTTGTGACAAAAGCGATGGATATCAAGCTTTGAGGTGAAGCCAATTTCACGACCACTCTTGAAGTTCCATTCGAACTCTTGAAACATATTGAACGATTCATGAAGAAGAGTGCTGATGCTGAGTATGACTTCTTGAATTTCTGAGAAGCCAATCAAAAGTTATTTGCTATGAAACAAGGAACAACCGAAAACTTGATGCATTTCAAGGAACGATTCTTGAGACAGGCTGAAGTCCTGCAAGATCTATATGGCGTTGCCTGGTTCCAAAATTTTGCAGTCAAGACAAAAGCGTATGCTGCTATTGCTAGCACCGATACTACTGCTAAAGACAAGTTCAAGGATGATATCTTTGAAGCAGTTCTTGCAACAGGATTCCTGTGCAACTGTGATTGAACAAGAACAGCTCCTCTGATGCTGGATCTTCAGACAAACTACTGCAGGGAAGTGGATTATTATCCAAAGACGGTCAGCAAAGCACACGATATGTTGAAGATTCACATGGATGTGATCAAGAATCCGGGAGTGAACCTATACCAAGGAAAAGACCAACCAAATAAAGGTAAAGGTAAAGGTAAAGGAAAGGGTAAACCGAAGGACGAAAAGAAAAAGGCAGCATGTTATGTACGTGGCAAAGAGGACAATATGTCTCCAAAATGCCCAGACAGACTGCTACCAGAGATTCAATGGAAGCATCCGAAACACTATGTTGATTACGGGAAGAAGCTCAATCTTAATCAGATTGGAGCAACTGTCCCAACTACAGCTACAGTTCTTGGAACTTCTCCAGCAACAAGTGTGGCTGGTACTACAGGTAATCAAATAATGCAAGTTCCTTCGGGAATGCAGCTCATGCAGATTCCAACTCAAGGTCGCGGCACTGTTACTGTCCCTTATTCTATGAATGCTAACAATGAGATTGCGTTCAGTGGAATGCAACTCAGCCAACAAGGCTTCAGTGGTGCTCAAGTGCGCCAAGGATCCGATGCAACTCAAGCTCAAACTCCGCAAGTTGTGAAGACTGGCTATTTTGATACGTCAAATGTCTTTAACAATGCTATCAAGCGAAAGGATGAGAATGGCAATGATGTCTATCCTATTCCATGTCCTACCGGAATGACTAACGTCGAACTTCAATCCGACTGGCACTATGCTAATAAAAGTGAAGACTTGCCAGATCTTGCTACTGAAAAGCCGCAGAATCGAAAGAGATCCGTTTGGTTTGCTTGATCACGTCATCATGGACAGTGGTTGCACCAACACCACCATTTGTAATGGTGAACTCATGCATGGACTACGTCAAGCTGAGAACGAGCTCGATGTGCACAATAACGTGGGCAGCAGAGTTCTTGATGAAGAAGGGTTTCTAGGAAGATTTCCGCCTCCAGTCTATTATGATGAAGACGGAATTGCCAATGTATTTGCTATGTGCGAGATGATTGCTGCGGGATACCGCATAACCATGGATACTGCTGGACTCGGGATGACTGCAAAGATGGCAACGGTTCGAAAGAACAAAGAAGGATTCACTCCAAGACAAGTCAAGGCTGCAATGGAAGCGAGAAGTGCGATGCACATACTCAATACTCCAAGCACCAAAAGTCTGAAGTATGCAATCCGATCTGGTCTCATCAAGAACTGTCCTATCACTGAAGAAGCGATCAATCATGCCAAAGCAATCTTTGGACCTGACGCCTTTACATTGAAAGGCAAGTCAACAAGACCAACTCCAAAGAAGGTGTGAGACATTTCAAGATGGCGATCAAATCGCAGGTGTGGATGACACGGAACAAGGTTACTTAGAGAAAGCCTTTGATCAGGACTATGAACCTGAAGATGAAGATGAACGTGATTTCAACCTACGTGGACAATTCGATGATATCCATGACTCCGAAAGAAATGAGCTCTTGGCAGATGCAGACAATGATGTCGATGATATGCCGGAACTCGCTGTCAGAGTCCAAGGAGATGATAACTATGAATCAGATGACAACGATTTGGGTGATGAAGGCAATGACGAGGAAGAACCTATTGTGGCCGATTTGGATCACCATCAAGAAAATGTTGATAGAGGAACCAATGATGTTGGAAGCCTCGTTACTGATCTGGAGGATCTACAATAACCGCCAGAAGAAGATATTGCATTTCAGCCTGAAGAGCCTCAAGTAGCAAAGATCACTCGATCTGGAGGATCTACAAGAACCGCCAGAAGAAGAGATTATATTTGAGCCTGAAACGCCTCAAGTAGCAAAGGTCACTTGATCTGGGCAAACGTATGTGCAAGCTACAATGTCTGGGCTGAACCTTTTTCAAGCTCCAAAGAAACCAAGAGAATGGCCTTCGAGCAGGAGTGGCAGTTCTGCCAATAAGAACAAGAATCGAGTTGCGACAAGACGCAAGCATCGAGAGAGAGAATTGAAACCGTTGAAGAACAAGTTAAAATCTGGTATTCGTACCAAAGAAGGAAGTAGCAGTACTAAAGACAGTAAAGCTATCCTTGAAGCACAGCACAATCTATGTTTCCAACAATTGGGAATGAGATGAAAGCTGATTATGAAGAGCACGACGCTATTCTGATCGCTCGTTGCATGATGCAGATCAAGGCAAAGTTTGATACTGACGAAGGTCTGAACTTCATTCAACAGTATTGCATCAATCAAGGACTGAAGAAGTTTGGTGACAATGGAAAAGATGCTGTGGATAAGGAATTGAGACAAATGCTCCTGAGAGATTGTTTTACTCCCGAAATTGTGAAAGACATGAACGCGTCTGAGCGAAAGGAGGCCCAATCAGCGATGATGTTACTTGCGGAAAAGCAATTTGAAAAGACAATTGACTCGTGAATGGTTATCGCGAGAGGACACTGCAAGTCCAACTGCTTTGCAAGAACCAATCACCACTACTTGTAGATACAATCTTCTCCTTCCCTAGCTTCAGGCATATAAGTTTGAATGAAAGCGTTAGGTACGTCCATCGTCATTATATCTCTACCTTCGTGTGCATCAAACGCTTTCATTCAAACTTATATGCCTGAAGCTAAGGAAGGAGAAGATCGTATCTACATGAAAATCACTGGCATGATGGTCCAGATATTGATTGACATGGCCCCAGAGTATTGCAAATACATTGTGTTAGAGAATGGAAAGCGAGTAATCTATGTTCGGGTACTACGTGCTATATGTGGGATGTTGCAATCAAGCCTCCTATTCTGTAATCAGTTTTGAAGTGATTTTGAGGCAAAGGGATTTGTTTTCAATCCGTATGACCCGTGTGTCCTTGCTCATTGAGGTATTCATGGAGTTGGAAGTGGATCAGGACGCTCTGTTGCTAACAAAGTTGTTAATGAAGAGCAGCAAACTATCAGATTTCATGTTGACGATCTTATGTCAAGTCACATGGATCCGAAAGTAAATGACAAATTTGCGAAGCGGTTGAACATGAGATATGGTTTGATCAAGGCGTGCACAATCGTCAGAGGAAAGATACACAGATATCTTGGAATGACTTTGGATTTCTCGGTGAAAGGAAAGCTCAAGATCCGCATGGACGACTATGTCAAGAACATGTTGGAAGATTTTCCTATCAAGTTCAACAAGGATTCAAAGCAGGAAACACCAGGTGGTAACGATTTACTGGAGGCTGGTAAAGGAAAGTTACTCAATGCTGCATACCGTCAAATCTTTCATGCTACTGTTGCAAGGGGGCTTTATGTCTCTAAAAGAGCTGGTCTGGATATTCAACCAACGATTACTATTCTTGCCTCAAGAGTTCAAGAACCTACAGAGTCTGATTGGAAGAAGTGTGTTCGCATGATGCAATATTTATTTTGTACATTGTTGTATCACCTGACACTTTCCGCAGAATCACTACGAGTCATGAAATGGATGATCGACGCATCTTTTGCAGTGCATTTAGATTTCAAGAGCCATACTGACGGAACTCTTTCCTTTGGAGGAGGTGCAGCTCAAGTGATGTCGAAGAAACAAAAACTAAACAGCAGAAGCAGTACAGAAGCGGAACTGATTGCTGTTGACAATGTTGTCACGATGATACTATGGACAAAGTTGTTCATGGAGTGGCAAGGGTTTCTGATTGAGAAGAATATCTTGTATCAGGATAACAAAAGCGCGATTCTACTGGAAGAGAATGGTCACAAGAGCGCAGGCAAAAGAAGCCGAGCCATCATTATTCGTTATTTCTTTATCACAGATCAAGTTGAAAAAGGAAATGTTAAGACCACATACTGTCCAACTGACAATATGATTGCGGATTACATGACTAAGCCATTACAAGGTGAGAAATTTTGCAAGTTCAGGGATCTGATTCTTGGTCCACAGGACTAGGTCAGACAAGTATGTATATGTTCAAAATACAAACAAAACAAAATATACAGTGAATGAGAGCATGTCCCATTGCTGCCAATTGATTGTCACAATGGCAGGAGTGTGTTGGGATATGACAAAATATGAGTTTTTACGTTCCAAGAAGAAACCATTCAAGTACTAAGTTTTCGACACAACACGACAATCTATTCACACGAAAAGGGAAAGACCCTATACAAGTGGAATATCGATGTTGTGTACGATACAGTAGGGAATAATACAAGATGTCCCAAAGTACTGCATTCAACACAGAATCCTCGTAGAAGTTGAATAGAGTTCTGTAAACAAGGGATTTTCCAAGGGAAAATCGTTGAACTCACTTTTGTGATTGAAACATCAATTCAAGCCAAACATTAATCAAATAGGAACAATGTCACTCAAAGTATACCTAACACAGGAGAACTGTTGTTGTGAAAGTGTTGTACAGTCGATTACGAATTTAGATTGCAGAGAATTTGTTCTGAGCGCAAAAGGCACTCACGATAGAGCACATTTTCTTGCTTTATTCTAACACACCTCCTTGTTCAGATCTTGCAACTGAAGGTCCTTGGTGGGATCAAAGGCATCGAGGACCGCCTTGGAATCATGGTTTGGGTAGCTCCCTTGGGTGGTGAGGTAGCGGTAGCTCTTTTTGCGCACGGTGAAGTCCGTAATGGTCATGATGATGAGTGTTACAGGTAGAAGTGCCGTGTGCTTTCCTAATCTGAACAACTATCAATTCCTAGACTTCAAATTCACTCTGTCAAATACAGAGCAGTCTTTCGAAAAGAATGAGCTGCAACTGAGCTGCAGCTCGTTCACCAACTTCTTTCACAACCTCTTTGGTACGTAGCTTTCCACTGTCCTGCTACTGTGCATACGTACTTGTGCGTACTGATCAGTCCGTCCTTCGCTAGCCAACACCTGCAGTGTTTGAAGCAGATGATATGCGCACGGTACATATGATAGAGTCTATTGTATCTGTGAATAAATCTTTCCGCTTTATCTAGCAAAGCCCTAAATATCTGTGAACAATTGTCCACGATTAAATATATAAGAGCCGATTGCCCAATAAATGATTCGTATATAACAATGCGTCAACAGTGTACTGCATTAATTCGCCCGTCTACCGTTGGGTTGAAAATAATAGCCGTAGAGTTTCGAAATGGAAAATTCAGAAGCAGGCATAAAACCAATACTCTTATTAGCAAGTTGAAAGTTCGCAATCCTTATCATGCCAGAGAAACAGGAAGAGCACTCCTCAGGAAGACACAAATCGTCGCGATCCAATGGACGATCTTCTCGTCAATCCAAAAGACGCGAGGTTGATGAAGAGCCTTCCGAATCATCACACGCATCCTACCTTGAGTCCAGCGAGAGAAGCAAAGAGGCTGGTCGTGCATCTAATCATGCATCCAGACCAAGGTCACCAAAGGAAGACTCTGAGCGATCCTCTCGTAGATCTTCTAGAAGATCAAAAGTACGAGAAGCTGATGACGATCCTTCCGAATCATCCTACCTTGAGAAGAGCGAGAGAAGCAATGGAAATGCTCGGAAGCTCCGTAGTGAACCAGAACAATGGTCGCAAGAGGAAAGCCCTGGCGATCGTAGAAAGGGACAAAGCGCCACAAGAGCAAGCAAACCTGGTGCTATTCCTGATTTGAATGCAACCAGCGATTCTGCTGATCGTGGAACGAAACTAAGCCCTGCGAAGGCATCCAAGTCTGGTGCCCTTCCTGCAGGGAATGACGACAGTGTCCCTGCAGATCGAAAGAAGGGGCGAAGGTCTACCCGATCTTCGAACCCAGTGGTTCTTCCCGAAGATCGGATGAGTCATCACCAGCGAAGAAAACAAGAAAGAGCTGCTAGCACGTCTGGCCAAGTACGATCAGCTTCGAATACGCGGAATGTGCTGGAAGCGGCAACCGTCGATGATGACCTAGAAGGAGAACCAATGCAGCTCATGAGACGCGAAATAGTACAGCTTAATCAGCGACTTCATGCTGAAAGAGTAGAACGCGAAGCAAACGAAGAAGTACAGCAAGAAGCGCGACAAAAGGCACATCAAAAAGAAAGAAGGAAGCGCAGACGACGGAACATCATCATTATTATGGTCTGTGTGGTTGCTCTCGTTGCCGCAGGTGCCAGTGCATTCTTTTCTCTCAACAAGAAGGCTGAAGCTACCGAAGATCCGACTATAGCACCATCATCTGCTATGAATGATGGCAGCCCCGCTGTATCAAGCGAACCAACAAGCGCTTCTTCCAATGGTCCAACCGTAACTCAGCTGTACAACCCACCCAGTGAAGACGACTGTGTCGCTATCTCCAGGAATCAAACCATCGCTGGACAGGTGGACTTGGATCAAAGGGAGTTTGACATGGCCTTTGATGTCACTTTGGAATCAGATGGCGATATCACTCAACAAGAAGTCCAAACACTTTTGGAAGCTATTCAAGCCAGGATCTTGCCTCCCCTGGCTGGTTGTTTCAGTCAGACAATCAATCGTCGCGAACTTCTAACAACGAACGATCAACCAACGATCAGAGCTCTTGTGACACAGCACAGACACAGACAGCTTGCCATTGGGGAGAACCGTTTTGTCATTTTTAATGCCTTTGTCACTGGTCGAGAGGATCCCGATGTGGTCTGTACCAACACACAAGACTCAAACCTCTGTCACAGAATTGTTGTAAAAGTAACTGCTATTTTGAAAGGGCCAGTCCAGCTAACGAATATTGTCGTTCTGACCTCTGATCAAGTGATTCAAAAACTGAAGGACGATGAACAAGACGATGGCAACTTGAAAGATCCATTAGGATTGCGCAATCCATTTTCCGAGGTGCAGTTGACCAACATTGATAATCAATCAGCAACAGAGGCTCCAGTGGTAGGGGCAACTTTGGATCCTACTCAAATGCCAGCACAAGCCCCAAGCTCCTCACCGTCAATGGCCACGCTAGTTCCTTCAGTGAAGCCTTCCATTGCTCCTATGACAGGTCCAACACCACCTCCATCGGCACTTCCAAGCGTTATGCTATCTGATACGCCAAGTCTACGTCCGTCATCCTTACCATCGTTACCACCAACACTCGCGCCCGTGGTGGGCCCAACTCTTTCGCCTTCAAGCGCACCGTCAAGAGTACCATCTAGAGTACCAAGTTTGTCTCCGACAGTTACCCCAACTGAAGTTCCCTCCGCCAATCCATCAAGTTTGCCAACTATGGCTCCATCTGGCACTCCATCAATAAAGCCGAGCATGGTTTCATCTGGCACTCCCTCAGTGGTGCCAAGCATGATTCCATCTTTTGCCCCATCAATGAGCCCGTCGCATCGATGCTTCCAAAGAAACATTGAGCTCAGTACTGAAGTCAGCAACTGGTTTGGTACCGCATTGCAAAAGATATCTGTCAAGGACACCTATGGTCAAATTGGAGACTGGTGTTTTGGTGCCGGGGTGACCAGTATGCAAAACTTGTTCACTGATCGTTCTACATTCAATGAAGACATTTTGGACTGGGATGTTTCTTCTGTCACATCAATGAGTGCTATGTTCATGGGGGCAACATCCTTCAATCAAAACTTGTCATCATGGGATGTTTCTTCTGTTGAACACATGACTAAAATGTTTGAAGGTGCATCATCCTTCAATGGAAACATGTCATCCTGGGATGTTTCTTCTGTCTCATCAATGAGTGCTATGTTCAGTGGAGCAGAATCCTTCAATCAAGACTTGTCTTCTTGGGATGTCTCTTCTGTCAAAGATATGAGGTATTTATTCAGGTGGGCATCAATTTTCAATCAAGACTTGTCATCCTGGGATGTTTCTTCTGTGAATGACATGCGTTGGATGTTCCAGTATGCATCAACCTTTAATGAAGACTTGTCATCCTGGGATGTTTCTTCTGTCACAGCAATGAGTGCTATGTTCCAAGATGCAGCATCGTTCAATCAAGACTTGTCATCCTGGGATGTTTCTTCTGTCACTTTGATGGATAGAATGTTCCTTGGAGCATCATCATTCAATCAAGACCTGTCGCGATGGGATGTTTCTTCTGTGACAAACATGTATAGACTGTTCCACTCGGTATCATCATCCTTCAATCAAGACCTGTCATCTTGGGATGTTTCTTCTGTGACAAGCATGGTTGAAACGTTCATGTATGCATCATCCTTCAATCAAGACCTGTCATCTTGGGATGTTTCTTCTGTGACAAACACGAGATACATGTTCTACTTCGCATCATCCTTCAATCAAGACCTGTCATCTTGGGATGTTTCTTCTATCACAACGATTCGAGCGATGTTCATGGGGGCATCCTCCTTTGATCAGAATCTTTGCGTTTGGGGCTTGCGCCTGCCAAGCAGTGCTGATGTTGCCGACATGTTTTCCGGTGCCACCAGCTGCCCATCACAATCCAATCCAATCTTCTCTGCAAATCCAGCATCATCTGCAGGTCCATTCTGTCATGTTTGTGTCTAGTCATTGTTTTAATTTAAAACAATAGAGTACTATTATTATAGTATTCGTAGTCCTACTGACTATATAGTCCTATAAAATATCTTCGTTTTTATTATTGATCGATCAAGTTGACCAACACCCACCAATGGCAACATGATACTATACCCGATGCATATCATACTACATCCTTCCTGAAAGTGTTGACTGCCAGCTATTTCTCTATTAGAGGCCCCGAAAGGTTGCCTACTTGCTACATCAAATTTAAGCAGTAAAATAAGGCATGCTGTCCCAGCAGAAGCAGGACAGTTTACGCCCGTTATTGAGAGGAGTCCTTCTCCGCCAATTGGCTGACTTTCAATGTTATCATTTGCAAATGTGTGCCATCAAATCAGGGGAACTATATGGTGCGGAAAGGGTCAATCATCGTATCTGGGAAGTCCACTCAAGATTTACATTGACATTGACATTGCAATTGAAAGTCTCAAGAGTCCGCGTTGTTATGGTGCTGGACGCTCGCACCCATACCAGTTTACAAACGTCAAGGCAGCCTTGCAGTCCATATACTTGAAGCTTGGAATTTCGCTTGAACATGTTTGTAGATTGTGGAATGATGCGTGCAATGCCAGAGCAGAAACGCCACACTCAAACTCTACAAATCCATCCATCGATGAGAGTAGCGGCCGACAAGAACCTTACAGACGATTCAGCCATCATTCGTGTACATATCCTTGGTTTGCAGTTGCTGAAATGATGATTTTTCTGCAGCTCTGTAGGCCAACAAGAAGGAAATAAACTGTTCATTTTCTGCTTGATCTTGACGAGGCGGCGTAGCATGTTTTTGGCAAGAAGTAGTACATAATGCATTGTTTGCTTTTGCTTCACATTTTATTCATTCTATCTTTTTACAAAGAATAGTTTTGCTCCTGATTCTGCGTTCGCCTCAGGATAACATTAGTCATCTATCCCAGTAGATAATGATCATCATGCGATGATTCAAAACAATAGATATACAGTATACAGTATTCAATATCATATGCGATGATGTCAAAATGCTCATCGCAAATATAAATAAGATCGCGAAGCACAGTCCCAAAAACGGTATCTTTGTCGTACATTTTGTACACGTGATTCTACATCGTTTTGTCGGTCATTCTCATATCTAAAAAGCTGGAAATTGACCCATCCGAGTAAACACCGGCGGCACAGTACCGGTACCAGGTACGAACGATGAAATGAAACAATAAAACGAAAAACCGCATAGACACCGCACCTTCGAGTTCCAGTGTATGTATTGAATGGATTATAGATATCGTGAGTGAGTGATCCTTACAGCAAGTCCTTGGGCACAAACCGATTGGAAACAAACATTAAAAAACCCAAGCTAGCTTTTGAAGCTTTTCCATTTCCGAGCCTCGCATATAATAGTAGCACAGTAATTCCAGGCATTCCGTAATATTGTATTGCAAAACAACAGAATAAGTTACTTTGCAACAGTCAAAGGAACGTTTGCGCTGAGTGATATTCTCCCATTATTACTATTGCAGCAACCAGAGAGAAACGATCGCTATGAAGAATTGCTGCTGCCTCAGAGAAATACGGATTCTTCTATCAATAATACTAATCACGGGAGTACTATCATCTGAAGAAGAACAACAACAACAACAACAACAACAACCACAACCACAACCACAACAACGTGATTTGATTGTGGGTGGAAAGGAAGCCAATCCTGGAGATTTCCCGTATTATGGTGCGTTGAATTTACTGTTTCTTTTTTAAATAATGGCGTCTGATCCCTTTTAACCTTTGCTCCTGCTAACCATTGTTTCTTACGCTCCTCCATCATATTCTACTTTACTACAACATAGTCCATTTGATAAAATGCGGTGGTTCCTTGATTTCTCCCAAGGTAGTCTTGACGGCAGCCCATTGTGGAAACTTTTCCGGTTATACTGCCACTGTGGGTTGTCATGTTTACGGCAAGGCTACCGGAGATGCCGTGGACCGCAAGGTTTCAAAGCAAGTCATTCATCCCGATTACAATTCGGACACGTACAATCATGACTTTAATCTGTTATTACTGGACGAGGCTGTTACTTTGTCCGACAGTACGGACATTGTATTGGAATTGAATGAAGACGATCTAGTCCCCACGGATGGCCAAGAAGTGACCGTTTTGGGATTGGGATTGTTGGAAGAATCTGGTGATACTCCGGAAAAGGTTCGATATGTCGAAGTCGAAAAGACTGCCGATGAATTTTGCAACGATGCCTATGGTGGAGACATTGAAGACTCGATTCAGTTTTGTGCTGGTGTCGATGGTGGTGGCAAGGATGCCTGTCAAGGTGAGTACAAAAAATACTAATACTATACTATTGCTCTAGTCCCTAGTATGGAAGAACGAAGAAATGAAAAATGACAACCAATTGGGAATCGAGTGTTTATTTTATCATACTCATCCCTTTTCTTTATTCTTTTTTCCTTTTTCTTTTATAATATTGAAAAATCATTTAGGCGACTCGGGTGGTCCATTGATTGTGGATTTTGGCAAGCGTCATGTCCAAGTTGGAGTCGTGTCCTCTGGTACTGGCTGTGCCTCGCCCGACTACCCTGGCATCTATGCTCGTGTCAGTGGAGAAATGGATTGGATCCGTTCCATCGTTTGCGATGAATGGGAACAAACGGATGCTACCTTTTGTCCTACCACTGCTGCTGCCAAGACGGGTCGATCGGCTGGTGGTGCTACCATGCACCACCCTCGTTCGCACCCATTGGAATGGTTCCGGATTCAAAGCAAGAATCATTTCACCACTACCATGACGACCATGGACGAAAATGACGATGTCGCCCATTGCCTAAGCTTGGAACATGGCCGCGTGGCAGTCAATGGCGAATCCATTGTAATGTTGCCCTGCGATGGAACCTATCAACAACAATGGACCCAATTTGACAATGATTTTTTGATTCGTAGTAAAATGAATCCCAACAAGTGCGTGCGCGTCAAAGTGGTTGACGATGATGTTGCTACTGCTGCTGCTGCTATAATCAGCAGCAGTGTGGATGACAACACTACTGAAACTAGCAGCAGTAGCATTGATGAGAAAAGCAGTGGAGATACTCTTGCACAATTGGAATTATACGATTGTTTCAACAGCGAATCCACACCCTTTGAAGCCTACAGCGATGGTACCATTCGACTCAAAGAGGACGACTCGCAATGTTGGGAATACTATTATTACAATAACATGGAAGGTCGTGGCCTGGTTGGAATTGTGGATTGCAATAATAATGATAAATTGTCCAATGACAACAACAAATCCCAGCAATGGAAGACTACCCTGCGACAAGACGATGTGTTGCGCACCAAGTCGGCCGTGAAGACAGTCTTGGCGTCCAAACACAACAACGACGCAGATAGTGTCAATGACGAACCGAAGATTCCAAGAGATGGTACTATAGCTATTACTACTACTCCAGAATCCAAACACGTTGGTGCTACTCTGGACGAGAGCATTACGCACGATAGCATTCCAAAGAGTGGTAGCTTTACGCATGTTCCACACGAACCCAGAGACCAAGAAGATTACAATAATGGCACCAATGATTGGTTTGGCATCAAGAATGTCAAGACGAATACATGTTTGACCTTGCAAGATGGTGGATTGGATGATTTGACCTTGATTGTTTTGGAACCCTGCGGTGATGATGATAATTATTCACTGCTACTACAACTACGACCAGAACAACAATGGATTTGGAATGGACATGATGAATTGCAATCCATGGCCGCCAGTCACAAATGCGTCGTGCCCTCTGGGGATGCCACGTTGGGATCGGCCATGTTGATTTACGAATGTCAGGAAAGCAACATGTATGGCCAATGGACCATACCAGAAGGCGACAGTGGCAGTGGCAGTGGCAGCGTCAGTGGCGATAGTGCTATTATTGGTCCCATTGTAAGCAACGAAGATCCTAGCAAATGTCTATCAAGCCATACCATGGATTCGGTGGTAACTTTGGAACATTGTCCAGAGGATGAAGCGCATATTCGAGATGATCGACTGTGGCAAACCGTGTGGTAATGATCCTGCTGGTATTAAAGTACGAGTACTACTTATTATTAGTATTATATAAAATAACATGAAATAAAATAAACTGCATGCAATATATTATATATAAATACGAATGCATGACAATATTGCATTGATGATGCAGTAGGTACAAGTATAGTATAGTATAGTATAGTATAGTATAGTATAGTATAGTATTGTATTGTATTGTATTGTATTGTATTGTATTGTATTGTATTGTATTGTATTGTATTGTATTGAGTGAACAAAAGCAATGACCATTCATTCATTGTGATACGATAAATATACTGTCCTACCGGTACGAATGAATGAATCAATCTCACTCCCCATCATTTTATTCAAAATGCCAACATTTTTCCGAGAGGTTCCATGTCCATGTAGGAAATGTACCAGATGTTACGAGCAATTCTGGTGCAAACGGAATCCCCGTACTGAATTGTACAGGGAATTTGGAGTGACGTGAAAACCTCAGTCTCACTCTCTCAACGGACACACGCACTACTGTAACAAACAAATATAAGAAAAACAATGGCAGACGGGTCCACCACACCCAACCCCATGGTGGATCAATCACCACAAGGTGATGAGTCCATGATGATGGAGGATCATGTCAGTGAGACTTCTCACCATGGCGAAGAAGAAGAGGAAGAGGAAGAAGTCGAGGAAGACGATTCCAACAATGACGATCACGATTTCTTTGATCATGAACCAAGCAAAGTGGAAAAGATGGAGGTAAGCACACACGATCGATCGAGCGCGTACACGTAGCGGGCTGGTAGGAATTGTACTTGTCGTGAATTTCAAAATGCCAGATTCCAAAATGAAGGAGCCATGTGAAAAATGAAAAAGGGAATCCTCCATGGGAAATAATAATACTGTATGGGACGGGGACGAGATTGAATGAAGGATTCCTACTGTACACACATTATCATCATATGCGTTATAATAATATTCAATATTATTATCTCATCATAATGCATGCAATGATAATGACAATAATATTGTTATTATATTCCTAATATCATGCTGATCACAATCTTACAATCTTACCTGATTGCTGATGCTGATGCTGATGCCTCTCACACCCATCATTTACTCTATATTCCAAACAAACAATGATAAACAAACAAACAAACAATGATAAACAAACACTAATACACTCAGATGCGAAAGGCCAGCAAACGACCCTCTGAATGGTTGAAATTGTTGTGCAAAGAGTGGGCCCTGCACAACATGCAAGTTGTGGAAGCCACCGACAAGCTCTTTTCGGACTACAAGCCCTATTTGAAAGGCTATCTGTCCAGTCAATTGCTCTGTCGTCTTTCCATTCCTCCCTTGATTACAAAGCACGGTGCCAATGGCGATACCTCGCCTCCGTTGCCCATGGTGGACTTTTGGGGAATCTTGCAGATTACGGATGAGTTTGACAAGGCCTACATTGTTGCTCAAATTGAACGCTTTTCGGCCTTGTATCAGATTCATGCCACTACTATATTGCAAGATGATGCGCCCTCTCCAGACCATCATCATCAACAGCATCACCAACTATTGCATCAGCAGCATCATCAACAGCATCAACAACACCATCATCATCACAACAACAATGCTACCATTGATTTGCCCTACGATGATCATGCAGCTGCGGTCGCTGCGGCGGCAGCCGCCCAAGCCAATGGATCCCTCCAACTGCCTTCCTACATGACCGAAGCCGCTGCCGTCGCCGTGGCGGTAAGTAATGATGTTCAAAAACTCACCAAAAAGCAGGCCAGTGAAGTCACCAAGGCCCATCGAATGGCCAAGGATGCCGAAAAGGCATTGGAATTGGAACGGCGACAAAATATGAAACGGGAGCAAAAACGCATCTCCCTCGAACGCAAGGAACAAAAGGCTAGGGAACGAGAAGCGGCACAAATGAAAAAGGCACAAGAACGCATGGCAAGAGAAAATTCAAGAGAAGCACGACGCAAACGCAAGCTAGATCTCAGATTGGAACGAGAAAAATTTGCTCAAGAACAAAAGGAAGCCGCCTTGAAACGAGCGGCCGAATTGGTATCTTCCAATCGCGTTCCCATTGAAATTACAAGAGGTGCTGCGGCGGCCAAGGCAGCTGCCAATGCCGCCATGATGCAACAATCCGGTTCTGTAAACCACCACCATCACCACCACCACAACCAAGTGCCCGAAATGGAACATCACCAACATCATCATCACGTTGCTCCTACTTCTGCATCTGCTGCATCTCCAACATCACAACCTCGCAAACGGCGACGATCGGCCATTGTGGTCAGTACGGCGGCGGATCTACACCAAATTGTCACGCACTCCAAAAATCTTTGGGCCAAATACAATGCCATTGCCAAGGAACACAATCAAAAGGTCAATTGGATTACGGTCGCCAAGGAATTGGGAATTCACGTCAAGGTACGAGAAAAGTATGCCAGGATGCATTCGCGAGCGGAACAACGGGGATTCGATTGGGAGGTCAATGGACAAATGAAAATCAAGGATCATCCCGAAATCTTTTTGGAACCGACGCAGGCGGAACAAAAGGCCAAAATGCCACCACCGCCACCGGATGCTGCGACGACGGTATTGATCAACGAAGATACACAAAAGGAAGTCATTCGAACGGACGAAGCGGCCGTGGCGGCGGCAGCGGCCGTTGTGGATGCGACTGTCGATGCGGGGGCAACGGCAGCGGCCGTGGCGGCAAGCCTAGCTGCGGATCCAGCTCATTTGACGGACAATAAGGCGGTGAGAATTTAAAATTGGGTTTTGTTTTTATAAAATCTATATATTATAATATATTTTATATTTATATATTATTGTAATGTTTTGGATCCTAGAGGATATATAATATAATAGTAATATATAAATAATACATTTGATTTTGATATATAGGACTACCTTTGATTTTGATGTATGATAGAACGTTTGGTAAAATCTTAGTGTCGTTTGAATGAATGCTGTTTGCATTAATCTTTTTAATTTGGGAGCTGCCTGAGGGACAACATAAAATCCAATTCCTTTTCGTTCCTTGAACAATAATGTAATAGCTTTTGCTTGCTACTATTACAAAAGTTTTTCAATGGAAATTTCCATGCATGAACATGTACTTTTTCAAAACCCTACAGTAGATCAAGAGTAGGACTACCGATATAATCACGATTCCCAAATTCTTCCTAGAGTATACATAATACATATAGTGCGTGTAAAAACATACTTAGTCCAAAATAAAGGATAAACGCTCACAAAAGTAGGGCACAGAATCAAATACTTTTATTATATAATATTCGAATAGTGCGTGTAGTGCACTCGATGGGTTGATCTTGTTGCGAATGCACAAAAAAAAACTATCATCCTTGGATCGATTGTATTATATTCCAATGAACAACCACAAGTGGTTCTTCCAGCATCGTCTTTCGGCCATTGCGGTCCTCCTCCTCGTCAGCATGAACAATAAGAAAACTTATTCTGCCACTGCGCAGCAATCGCTACTACTTTTAGGTGATGACAAGTTTGACTATTCTGCCAACAACCCTTTGCCATCTGCTGCTGCTGCTGCTGCAAGCGCATCAAGCAAATGCGCCTTGCTCAACTTGGTTGTCGATGAAACGGATTCCATGAAACAGCAAACGGAATGGTTGAAACAAAGGGCCATTCCTCAACTTGTGAAACGACTGCATTCTGGCAATGATGGATATTATCATTACGATTATGACTTGGTCTTTGTATGTGGAAATGGCTTTGGCAAAACGGGTAGTAGGAGGAGCGATGAGGAGACCCTACTGTATCGTTTCATGGGTTGTACCATTGCCAATGCCAATGGCACCTTGCAAGATGATTCGGTTGCCGCCTGGGACCATTCGGCCAAGAAACCACAAGATGGTTGGTTGGCCATGAGGAATGCCATGGAACATGTCCCGGCCGAGATTGAAGGAATCGACTTGCTTGCTACCTGCCAACAGAAGCTTGATCGAACCCTCATTTTGTTGACGGATAATGACCGAGACGATGAGACAAAGTCGTTGACTTTGGAGGGTCTCAAGAACCTGATCTCGCAAAATGGCTACATCTTGGATGCCATTGTCAAGACCGAGATTGATGACGATCTCGATAACTTTGCTTTGAAGATTAGTGACTCATCGGGCGACCAAAACACAATCTTTACTGCTGACGGAAACGGTGGATGGACCACCCAATCTAGAAATGAAGCCTTTGTCAACTTTGTGGATGGATACAAAGACACGCCAGAGGACTATATCCCATTTGTCGTTGAATCTCGAGGAATGGTTTGGAACGGCAAGAGTCTCGAACATGGCATTCGAGAGAACCCAAGCCTTCTCGAATCATTTACGAATCACTTTGTCCAACAAAAAGTTGACCAGCTCTCCAAAAGCCAAGCCACTGGAGATCCACATATCACTACCTGGAAGAATGAACACTTTGAGTACCATGGACAGTGCGATCTTGTCATGATGAAGGATCCAAACTTTGCCGATGGTCTTGGATTGGACGTTCATATTCGTACCAAGATTGTGCGGTACTGGTCCTATATCAAGAGTGTCGCCATTCGTATTGGGAATGACATTCTTGAGATTGAAGGTTCGGCTGATACTGATGACTCGGAAGCCCACTATTGGATCAACTACGAGTACCAAGGAGAGCTCGAATCGGTTGCTGGCTTTCCCGTCACTCAAACGCTACCATCCGTGTACAAGCGTAGATATACCATCGACTTGAGTTCCAAGTATTATGGTAACCAAATCAGTATCCATATCTTTAATGAGTTTGTCAGCGTCGCATTCGGTGGAGGAAAAGAAGCATTTGGAAACACTGTTGGTCTTCTTGGAGACTTTGACACGGGCAAGACCTTGGCCAGAGATGGTGTAACGGTCATGCATGACTTTACCGATCTTGGCGATGAATGGCAAGTACTTGCATCAGAGCCAAACATATTCCATGAAATGTCGGAACCTCAGTTTCCCAATCAATGTATCCATCCGGAAGATCCCAATGGAGACCGGAAGCGTCGTTTGCTCGAGGCTGATATTTCGTTGGAACAAGCAGAAGAAGCTTGCGCTATATTGAAAGATCCTCTTTTTATCAAGGACTGTACATTCGACGTCATGGCGACTCAAGACTTGGCTATGGTTGGTGCCTATTAGGAGTTGACACCATCAGAAAACAGTACGATGATCTGAGATAGGCAGTGTCTGAAAATATGCGAAGAACAAACACTCGTCTCATCGTCAATAGAGCGCTCTTCTAGTATTCATTCAATATTCAATATTCAGACTATTCGATATGTCATTCTTATGCTCATGCATGCCATGCGGTATAGCTATGTCAGTTATTGCCAACGATGACACTACAATAAAATAATTGTGTGCAATATTTTGAATACAATAATATGCTGACACTGAAGGATATTTTGCCTAATGTAGTACGTTAGTCGACGGGATCAACGAATCGCCAAAAGCCTGCCGGCATGCCATCATGCTCACTATCGCTCAATACTCACGAAACTGCTGGGATACCTTTCTACTTTCCAACGACAGTCTCCTATCACCATCACCACCACCATCATCATCAAGATAGAAATTAAAAACAATACGAAATCATGACGAGCCATGTTCCAATCTCGTCGTGCATGGTGATTTTGGATCATTCCCAATCCATGCTGTATAAGGATTATGCTCCAACTCGCTTCGAATTCCAACAACAGGCTTCGAGTTACATGGTCGATTGCATTCTCGAAGAAGCATTGACCGCTACTATTACTACTTCTGCTGCTGGTGGTGGTCAAATACCCAAGATTGGAGTCATGGTGGGAACAGATGTCTTGATTGGCCCACAAGAAGATACTGCTATTGTCTACGAAGCGCTCGTTGACAACCTTGCCCTTGCATCCATGGATCTGACGACAAGTCTTCGTGTGGCAAGCCTTGCACTTCGAAAATACGAGAAGGAAATACCAACTGACGAAAAAGAAGAGAATGGCAGACAAGTCATCATTGCATTTGTCGGTTCTCCTCTCAATGAAGATGATGACAACTTGGAACAAGTTGGAAGGATTCTAAAGAGAAATGCGACAGAACTTATAATCGTGGCGCTAGGAGATGACACTGATGATAAGCTACTTCAAGACTTGGTATCGATTGCCAATGGCAAAGTTGTGAAAATTTCTCCTCAAGACGTTGCGAAAGAGGCTTTGGACGGACTCTTTGGTACTAGTCACACGCCACCAGAAACAACTGATTCAATTCCAATTGATGGTCCAACCATGATGAAGAAAGAAATTAAGAACGAAAATGCAAGTCATAGGATCGACGCACTATTGAATAGATCAAGGGAAGAAAGAGGGAAGATCCAACTAATGCTGAAGACATCTTTCTCTTCCGAGGCCATTCCGCCCCCTCCAGGAATGATGCACAAGGACCTTACCTTCGCACAGGGTAGTTTGGATTCCAAATTTGATGATTCAAATCCAATAGACAACAGAGATTATGAAGATGAGGAGGATGGTATTCCATCACCAGCAAGCTCCGAGAAAGGATTTAGCCAATGGGAGGAAGAACAACCATTCGATGAACGGGAGGAACTGTTGCAAGCAACATTAGACTGTGGGCCAGAGATCATCCCATTGCAACCGACTATTAGTGCTAGTACTAGCACAAGACAAAAACCAAACCTCACGATTCAAGTGAATGGTAGTCGGGATCAAGCAGACACGTATGACCTAGTCAAAGAACATAATGTGGAGCTGGAGCGGCACATGTCCATGAGTCCAACATCTGGTGGCCCCGATCTTCAGCAAGAACAAGAGAACATTGCCCGATTCGCCAACTTGCGTCAAACGCACGTCTCGATTGCCGAATACGAGCGAGTCAAGACTGAGCTGCGGGCCGCCAAGCGATACATTCGAGTACTGCAAAGGTTGGTGCATGAGAAGGATGAAATGATATCAGCTCTACATGATATGCTTGGATGCCTTCGAAGCCAGAATTTTGAGTTGGGGATTATAGTGGAAAAGAAGTCGGAAGTTACGACTCTCACATTGGATGGTGATACCACAGACAACGAGGACGAGTCCTTGCATGGAATCAGCACAGATAGTAACACCAGTCGTTGGAAATCAAAGACTTTGGTGGATGAACTGGATGATCAATATGACTTGAAACCATCGCAATCCTCAGATTCCCACATTTCCATCAATGAGATCAGAAAGCGGACCAGAGAACTGGAAGCATTACACGCATCTTTGACTAACAAGTCCAAAGCCTTGGAATCAATGGCCTTGATGAAAAGTAACAAATCCCAGACACTGACAGAAAAGCGAAACAAGAAGCGTGAATTGGAAGCACTTCGAGCATCCATTATTTCCGCTAGCTAGAATGAACGCGTGCCCCCACTATTGCATAATGATGATTATCACAAACCTCAAAATTCGTTCACTCATCTTTCATCATGAATGACTTTTGCTCCACGGGCCTGATGATGAACTAATCGTATTGTTCTCTTGTTTGAGATCACTACTACCGGTATAAAACAAGTAATGGAATCACACGGTCGACGGTTTGACGAATGAATCTCTAAATGACCTTCTCATGACATGACGTATATATTGCCGCAGCTCGCGTTGAAGGTGATAGTTACAAGAGCGACCTCGCATCAAGATTGAGAGTGTTGTCTCATTGAAGGAGCTTAGCCCACCCCAAAGATAACTACAACATCTTCCTCACTCTACGTTACTGCTTCCTGAGATTACCTTTGGAGTCTGAATCTGAGGGATCTGAAACCACACTTGAAATCTCAGGCCGACTTATTGAAGCCTTCGTTTCGCACCTACTTGATATCTATCCATTTCTCTGATACGAAACAATCAGAAGCATGATCGGAGAGTCGTCGCATTCTAGCAGCACAGCTTCACCACAGTATGACGAGATCATTCAAGAATTAGCTTCTTTATGCATATCATCAACAGGTGGCTCAACGAACGATTCTGAAGACCCATGCTTCTTTCAGGGAGCACTTGGCAGTAATGCCTTTGTTAGATATTCCACCTGGAAGATGAAACGAAAGGCGCAACCAGAAAATCTGGAAGTTGATGAAAAGCTGCTTCATCTTACAAAAACTGTGGTGCAGGACTGTTTAGAACGCTGTAATACTATCGAGAGCAACAGTCTCAGCGTATGGACGAATCCATCCTTCGGGTCTCATATTCTGCTCACAGCAATCTTCCATCAGCTGGAGCAAGGTGAAGCTAGTCATCAGGAGATGGACGAAGTGGAACACTTTTTGGAGAAATGCATCGAAAAATTTGGTAAAGATAATTACGAACAAGTCTCTTGTAATGTGATGAATGGACTTGCAGGCACGCTTCAGGGGATCTTCTTTGTCAGACGAGAATTGCAGCGTCCAGATTGGGCCAAGAAGGCAGCCATTCGTATCGCGACTGAAATATTACAACGCGGAAGTGAAAATTACGAATCTAGAAGATCCACCTCTTTGGCACCGTTGTACTGGGGAACGCTTGGTGACGAGGAGACTGACTGGACCATGTCAACGGGTTGCGCCGGAATTATGCAATCGCTTTTGGGATTGGAAGTCAATGAATGGAACGAAATCGAGAAAACAATACCCAACGCCCTTATAAGCTTGTTAGGAAAAACAATACAGAAGCTGCCAGCTTATGGAAACATGGAGTATTACTCGAAATCGAAAAACAGCAGCGGTTGGACCATGGACGGAGCAGCAGGGCATGCCATTCTTTTGCTTCAATCATATGTTGTTTTGGGGTCAATTGAATATCTCAAACAAGCGCAGATGCTAGTCCGTACAAAAATATTGCCTTGGTGCTCTGCATATATAACCGATTCGAAGATCTTGCCCGTTAGCAAAACCCTTGGTCTATTTGATGGGGTGGTCGGCATTTGCTACTGCCTCTGGCTAAGTAAAGAAAAAAATTCAGCGAGAAAACTGATCAATAAAGCAATTGCATACTGCAAGAAGCGAATTAAAGCTGGGCATCCAATGGATTTGTCACTCGCAAATGGTGTGTCGGGTTTTGTGCGATTGCTTAAGCAGATTGACAATCGAAATCGTGACGAAGTAGAGATCCCATTCTTGAGCTCTGCATTATTCAACTTTGATATGGAAATTCAAATGCCGCTCAATGAAGGCGGCCGTGACTCATCGGCGCTGCATGCAAGAAGGAAGGCGAGAAATGAGGCGAAGCAAAATGCCAAACGACATCAGAGTCTACCAACTCATCCCCAAGCAAGTAGCAGTGGCCATAGTGCAAGACGAAGCTACCAGCTATCAAATCTATCGACGCCAAAGCGATGGACGAGTACATCAGATCTTGATGAAGATTCTCACTTATCAGTGAGCTCATTTAGCATTGAGGAAAAACCTAGAATTCATTCATCGATTCAGTTCCCAAAGTCACGAGCCAAAAGGCGAGCAAGTAATACGCATAGTGTCAGTTCGACATCATTTTCTCTCAAGGAAGAGGACGAGAATGTGGATAAAAAGAGGACAGGCTCGTCTCCACCTACAACCAATGGCGATAGTGGCGACGATAGCAGCAGTTTCAGCACCAGCAGTCACATGGAGAGTGGAACTGTAGACGACCAGGCCAATCCTCAATATCTAGCAAAGCAAGATTCTGACAATGAGGAGTATATCAATGCAAATGTTTCGGTATCTTTGTTTCCCGACAAGAATTTTGGCAGCGACAGCGACAGCTCACTGGAAAAGTCGGAGAGGAAACGGCCACCAATTGATCGATTATCCTTATTTGCAAAAACACGGAACCAGAATCTCAATACTGACAGTGATAGCGACAGTATTATTGACATTGAACCACCAGTGTCACATTTGAATGAAACGCCTTCAACCTCAAATCGAAAGTCGCTCAGCGCCCACAAGTCAAAAGATCCCCGCAAAGATTCAGACCACTCTCAAACAAGTCGACTATCGCTTCAGAGAAGTCCGAAACCGCAAATGCATAATTGGATGACCGCTTCGAAGCGGAATCTAATGGCTGGTTTGGAAGACGATGGACCTCTCCCGCCCCTCCCTAACACAAGTACTCGATCATCCGAAGGGCGATTGGCTGGAATGCGAAATTCATCACACCATTCACGCCATGCTTCAAACCATTCTGCTGCCAGCACAGCAGAGTCGATGAACGATGATGATTATGAGCCGGGCGCAAATGACGATGGGTTGGCTCTTGGTACCGCCGATGAAATGCCGAACGAAAACTACTTGGATGCACTTGATGTCTCCGCCCGGTCAACTAGCGACAATGCGTACACCCACTACAAGCCAAACCCGACACAGAAAAAAACTTTGATGGATGAGGAGTCCCATGGATTCTCTTCACTGACTTCGAGCCAATATCCCTCAGCTAGATTTCTCACAGAATCGCTTCAAGAAGCTGAGAACGAGAGTGGATCCGATTCCATGCATGAAGATGAAGGCACAGTTGGAGATGACGATCTAGCAATGGGTTCGCCAGATGATATGCCAAGCGCTGCCTACTTAGCTACGCACGACGTATCAACTAGAACGCGTACGTATGATCCCATGCGGAACTATAAGCCTGTACCGGTGCAAAAGAAGACACTGATGGACGAAGAAGATCATGAACGCGGGACTCAGAAAGACAAGGCTAAGGGTAGGAAGATGCGATCGCTCAGCGAAGATATGAACGAAATCGGTTCGGACTCAATGCATGACGATGACGACGACGATGGCATAGCAATGGGTTCGCCAGATGATATGCCAAGCGCTGCATACTTGGCTTCGCACGACGTATCGACTAGAACACGGACATATGAACCCTTGAGAAACTACAACCCTGCACCTGTGCAAAAGAAGACACTGATGGATGAAGAAGACCATGAACGCGGTGCGAAAAATAAGAAGACCAAGGGTAGGCAGATGCGGTCGCTCAGCGAAGATATGAACGAAAGCGGGTCGGACTCAATGTATGATGATGACGACGACGGCACCGAGGGAGGTGACGGCTTAGCAATGGGCTCGGCAGAAGAATTACCCAGTGCTGCGTATTTGGACTCGCATGATGTCTCCACAAGAACGCGAAGCTATGACCCATTCACCAACTACAAACCAGTGCCTGTGCAAAAGAAGACTTTGATGGACGAAGAGGGACACGGGGCTTTCAGAAATCTTCGTTTGCCATCTGGACCAAACGGCGCATCCTCGAAAGTAGAGGGCACGCAGCACTCTGCTTCCGTTTCTGTTGACACAGATGATGACGATTTTGAAGACGACGAAATGGCAATCGGGTTGCCAAACGAGGTTCCAAACTTGGCGTATCTCGAGACACACGATATTTCAACTAGAACCAGGTCATATGACCCTTACGTAAACTACAGGCCTGTAAAGGCTCAACAAAAGACGCTGATGGACGAAGAGGGACATGGGGACCGCCTTTCGTCCGACGACGATTCTCGGTCGATTGAAAGCATGCACGTCCAATTGGACATGGACGAGAGACCAAATTCGGAATATTTGGCACGACAAGATTCGTTAACAGAAGTCTACTTTGACTATAAATCAAAAACAACAACAATGCCAGTTCACAACCTGCTGGATGAAGAAGACCATTCATTGGTAGATCAGAGTGTTCCTGGGATCTCAATTGATTCGTTTGTTGCGGAAGAAGCTGAAAAGGATGAGCAACCAAACACGGCATACTTGGCGAGGCAAGACTCGGAACAAAATGAGTACTTCCAATTTTCCTCGGGCACTACAAAGTTGCCGTCTCATCAGGCTGATATGACGGGTGATTCGAAAGAAGTCAAGCAATCTGCAATCGAGGCAGAGATCGAAGAAGCAATTAAGAATGAGAGTTAAAGTATCCTGATTGATTGAAATCAAACATATAAAATAATATCCATCATTCTCTCAAAGGTATCTCCTTGATGTCATATTGTGTAGAACAGAAGTCAACCAATTGGTGTAGTAAGTAATTATGTGGGAAATTTAGCATAAGTCCCCATTTTTCTCAATATCGGTGAAGTTGATGGAATTACAGCAGGCAGCTTTGTGGCACAGGGTCGAAAGGTTGTATGCCGTTTGTTGACACTGCACTTGAAATTTCAAGTCGCTTGGAGACATCATAGAACGGGAAGCAAGCGGCCTCCGGGTGCAACAGGTCGATTAGGAGCGAAGCCAATCCACCAATTCCTTCAAAAAGAGAATAGGGACGACGGGAGTTGGAGATCAAGGAATCAAGTTGATCTACAGCATGGTGCGCAATACTTTCTGCTTTTGAGATCCATTTAGATGCGTTCTCGTAATCAATTTGCGCAAGTGCCAGGAAAATATACCCAATGCCGGAAACGCCACGCATAAGCCCACCATTTGCATTGTTGATTCTACCTGGCTGAAGGGCTGGTCGAAGGGTACTGTCTGCCAATCGTGTTGCACGTAAAACGAACTCCTTTCTTTTCTTGGGAAAGGCTAGGGACGCCTTTGCAAGTAGAAGACAGTACCCTGGTGATCCATGTACCATATTGGTCAAATCATTGTCATCTTCGTCATTCAACTTCTTTCGAAGGTTTCCAGAGTCGTCGCAACAGGAGTCTAAGCTTTCGATTGCTTGAAGAATAACATCTCTTACTCGAGGCAGCATGCTTTCGAGTATGCTCATTTCCTCGTCTGAGTGTCCAAGCAGCGCGTCAATAATGCCAACAACCCCATGTGCTGATCCAAGGTATGGCTTCGATTTCCATTCCCACATGACCAAACTTTCCGATTTGTACTTTTGAGCTGTCAGCATTCCTTGATACATAATCTGCTTGCTGATGTGCAACGCAAGATTATGGCCAAAACCTGGGCTCTCCAGTTCGGATCGTAGAAACCAAATTGTTTTCAACACTCCAGCTCGGCCATCAAGAACGCCACAGGCTTCAGGGGGTAAACTTTCGCATCCTTTGCGAAGGAGCTCGAGGAGATCCTCGGCATGCCACAATGCCTTGTTTGGTCTACCCAAGCGATGCAGAAGGATGATGTAGAAGCACTTTGCACCAATATATTCATCGTTGAACATGTTCTGAGACACAGCCCCAGCCCTTCCCTTGGCCACTTTCAATGCCTTTTCGGCTTCAACTAACGAAGCCTTCAACAGTTGCGTTCTATTGTTTTCAGAAGCCTTGCTCATTTGAAGGCGCAGATAGATGCAGGGACCAAGTCCACCATTGAGAAGGTTTCCTTCGGCAGTACTGTTGTCTAGACACCTTGACATGATCCTTCGCCCGAACTTTCCGTTACGATCTCGGAACTGGTACTCGGAGATAACTTTATACTCGGTTCCGAGCCTATTCGGCCGCGGTGGACTTCTTGGTCCTTTGTCTTGATTAGAAAAAGGTTGGCCTCGCAGCTTGGATTGAGTCTTGGTGGATGATTTTTCCGCTGGTACTTGGACTGTGTTCGATTTTGCTGTTGGCCTTGGAGGCGTCCGGATTCTGGATTGCCGTGATAGTTGCAGTGCAACAGAGTTCGGCTTGGTTGGAGTCGGTATTCTTGTAGGCCTCAGAGCGGCCTTTAAAATTGGATTCGGTGAAGCGTTCGAGTGTTGGCTTGGAACTGAAATGGAAGATGGTGATGAATATGTTGGGATTCTGGAATCTCTTGCTGGTGTCGATGGTGGAGTTCCAACCGTTGCGGTCCTGGAGGGAGAGTTTCTAAGAGGCGACGAATAGTCGTAGGAATAGGAGACATCGGTTGATTGAATTGCATTGCTGCTGTCAGAATTTGCGTTTGGTCGAGGTTCCGACTTCTGACGAGACGGACTACAATCGCGGCTATGATCAGATTCCAGGAATCGATGTTGTTTCGCTTCGTTTTCATCATGCTGAGTGTCAGCATTACTGTGAAGATGAGTATTGGAATCTTGGAACTCGGGTTCAATGGTGCCATTTTGGCAGCATTGTACAATCTCAAGAGAAGCCTTCGGATGGAAGCTAAAGTTGTCAACAGCCAAAAGACCAGATTCATCAAAGTCTGTGTTGTCGGTAGGCAGTGATAATGACATGGAACAAGATGAAGGTGGATGAAGGAATGGAAAGCTGGATGGTTGGATTCGATCAGCCATGTCCATTAGAAGCAAAACAAGTCCGCCGGCACCGTCAAAGAGGCCACATACACTTCCTTTGTTGCTCGATAGGTTTTGCATTGCCAATTTCACGAATCGTTCGGAAGCACTCTCTTGCTGCAAGTACCTCAGGGCGAAGGCGACACCGACAATCCCATCACTGAGTCCAATCTTGCCAATCTTGGGATTGTAACAGCTCGGAAGGAGATATCTCTTTGTAAGATGCTTGGCAAAGTCAAAATACAACTCTTTGTCAAATATTTGAGACGCTCGTATCAGCAGCAGAATTTGACCTGCGACTCCCGTTGCCCAAGATGGATCACAGCCATCTGTGATTACAGAGACTATGTAGTTGGCTTCGATGATGCCTTGTACAGTTTGTCGACAACCTGGAATCTCAGTTTCTAGTCGATTCCATTCTTCCTCTTCCATCCCCAGGAGCGTGTAAAGAATCCCAATTCGTCCGAGTATCATACCATCGTCGCCATCTATTGAACTATTCGCTGACAGTTGCACCAGCAGTTCCTTGGCAATATCAATAGCAAGATCCCTGGCACCAGTAGGACTGTATAGTTCCCGTCGTAAAAAGAAGATTCCTTGCAAGGCACCAGCTCGACCATACCAAAGGTTGTTCCGCTTGCTGTTGTCGTTAGATTCCAAATGGCATCCACCGTTTGCTTGTTTCCATATTCTTAAGAGCATCCGCAAATGATCTCTACCCCTATACACCTGATCCATTTCGTTGTAAACGACTGTCAGCAATAAATGAGCCCCAATCTCTGTATTCGTCAGTATGCTCATGGATCCTGGGGTCTCATTGTCACATTCTTCATCATTCTCTGCCTTAATATCTGACTCAGTATTCAGGACCTCATGACAAAAGTCTCTCGCTGAAGTCAATAAGCGTAGTCTGTGCTCTTCGTTGGTGCAATGTTTAGACAATTCGTATTGTAAATAAGCGAATGTTCCCAAGCTTCCAGTTGCCAAGTCAGTTTTGTTACATACATAGTCATTCAGGTGATTGATAGGTGAAAATGAATCATGATTGGATACTTCCCCCGCTGAGCTTCGTTGCAGGCATTCATGGGCAATCCTTCGTGCTGACTGTCCCCATTGACAGTGAAGAGGGCCATCCATCCAGTCCTCGTCTTCCAAAAGGAATTCACTGTCAAACGTTGATGACAACAATGATGCTGAAGGTTCTGTGGTTGTCATTTGTGAGGATGACATTGCTCAGGAAAGCTTAACTCTGGCGTCTCTCCTTTGCTAAGAGCTTTAAGCGTGCCCTCCACGCGATTGAACACCAGAAAGACTTGCTCTTCTATATCACTGGCAACTGCCATTCACCGTTCATCATCGTCAACGCAGATCAAAACTCAGACGAACATGTTTCATCGTCATTCGATCAAGTCAAGATCTTTGAAAAACGCGGCAAAAAGTGAGATATCGCAAGCCTGCGCAGCTCACACATTCAATTTGAAATCTTTACACGCAGTAATATAATTCCTACTGTACAATAATACCGGTAGATACGCTTTACCAGTAGAGTAGCGGCGTGGTCTACAGTATTGTTATGGTGATGGATCTACCCCCATGGTGTGTGCAAAGAATCGAGATGTTACCAGCGTTATCCCAGTATGTAGTTGTACCAGTCGACATATTGACAAAGCTTACCACCATCCTTGATAACTCCCCGACTGATCGACCAGACCTTGTCCACCAGTTGGCTCGCCATAGTGGAAGGCGGAGATTCGGTAGTCTTCTGCTCGCTCTTTTGTCAAGTGTTGTAACTGGATCATTGAACCATCCGGATCATACAAGAAAGCTGTGTCGTAGATATGATCGTCAATGGCTTGTTTCTGTGGTTCGACTGCCAAACTTAATCCTTTTCCACTCTGGTAAAAGCTCTTCTCATTCAAGTATGCTAGGAACTCAGAAAGGGTCTCAAATCCATTCTTCCACATCAGATCCGAAACGTCTAATGTCATGTGATTCCAACCCAACAATTCCTGATTTCGGACACGGTCCAAAGCTCGTCGGTTGCTATCTGATGGCACTTCAATCAGTTCTATTCGTCCTGCTCCAGCCACCACATTGTCCAGCCATGTGGCCCTGGTTTGGCCAATCCGGAACTTGGATTTTGATTCAAAGCCAAACAAACTATAAAAGTCCATGGCGGAAGCTAAATCTCTTGTTTTGATCGTAACATGATGGATTCGCGCAGGTGGATCTTCTTGACCCGAAACCATCCGTAGCGCTTCATTGGCCGTTTTTTCCACAGTCATTCTGGCCGAGTTGACAAAACTCTTTATTCCAGTCTTCAAGCTACTACCAAGACTAAAGACATGTCGAATCGAGTAACCAGCGTCATTGTCCGCAACACCTCCAGCATAGCCAACCGTCCCAATCATGGCAGCCCACAGTACTGGTGGCAGCATGGCAGATTGTCCGACAATATTCAGTCCCAATTCGGGATTTAACGCTCCGGCAATCCCAATCGATGCCCCCAACAAGGATCCACCCAGGGTACTGGCTGCTATGTCCAATTTGGTCGGCGGCGTCCGGTTTTTTGCCCTTGTAATAATGCTGGTTTGGTAGGCTCGATTGGTGATGACTTGTTGTTGCCACTCGTTTTGCTGTTGCTGCCGCTGTATTTGTTGTTGTTGCGAGTTCCCGTTGTCCCGCATACCGCGTGATTCCAAAAACTTCACAAAATCCATTCCGTTCATGGCCGCAGCTTCTTTATCGTATTGAAAGGAGAAGGGACTGGATGATGATGATTGCATATAAGTCTCAAGGTTGGACCGAGTCTGGGACGAATCCTCGAAAAGACTCTCGGGCGAATTCTCAAAAAGACTCATAGAACCTCCAGATCGAGATGGAAGGCTCGTCCGTTGTGGAAATACCGACTGGATTGACGGGTCTTCTTCCGAATAGACATCGCTGGTATAATAGAAAGGTTCTGTTTGACTCGAGGGCGAGGCCGTTTTTCTAGATTTGTCTCTTTCCCGCCGCGGCTTGGGCGGTCTTTGAAAGAAGGCATTATTCGAGGCTGGTATCGAAGATTGTACATCTGATCCATAGGACGGTGGTGATGGAATAACGTCGGCATCGATCGGCGAGATAGGCTTCCTTCGGACCCTTCCTGGCTTTTTTCTAGTGGTGCCAGTAGATCTCATCCCGTTGTCGTCATTTGGCATAAATGTTTCCTCATCAGATCCTTTCAATGGGACAGCGGCGCTCTTCAGATTATCAGTATTTCTTGGTCGTTGGCGAGCCGCATCAGCACTGGCATAAGTGACATCCCTAAACGACACTGGTACCGCATCCATAGTAGACCCCCGATTATTCTTCCTTCTCCTCTCATAAATGGCATCATTGAGAGGTGGTTGTTGGATTTGTGTCCTAGGTGTTTGCTGATCATAGTCACTACTCCTATAGATGTCATCATTCAGTGGTGGCGGTCTAAATCGTATTCTTGGTGCTTCTTGTTTCTGCCCATAGTCAGCACCATCGAGTGAAGGTGGTCGGTTTCGTGTCCTTTGTGCTTGTTGCCCATAGTCACTCCTCCCATATATGTCATCATCGAATGGTGGTGGTCCAATTCGTCCCCTTGTTGCTTGCTGAGGATCATAGTCACTATCATCCAGTGGTGGTGGTCCATTTCGAGTCCTTGGCGCTTGTTGCTGCCCATAGTCACTATCATCCTGTGGTGGTGGTCTATTCCGTGTTATTGGCGCTTGTTGCTGCCCATAGTCACTATCATCCAGTGGTGGTGGTCCATTTCGAGTCCTTGGTGCTTGTTGCTGCCCAAAGTCACTATCATCCAGTGGTGGTGATCCATTTCGTGTCCTTGGTGCTTGTTGCTGCCCAAAGTCACTCCTCTCGTTCATGCCCTCATCCAGTGGTGGTGGTGGTGGTGGTGGCGGTCGATTTCGTGCCCTTGGCGCTTGTTGCTGGTGCTCATATACACTATTGCCATTATTTATTGTCGGCATCCTCGAAGGCGGCGGTATATTTTGCCCATCTCGAGTGCTTCGTGTTGATGATGACGTAGCAATACTTCCATAGTGAAAGGGATCAGATGGTGATGGTGCGATTTCAACCATTTTCCTTCTTTGACCATTATTGTTGGTAGAAGAATTTGATGCGCCCATGGAACCCTTGATTATTGACACAGCTGGTTCTGATATCAGCGGCTTTGATGTTGACTGAGCTGAAGAGGAAGATGATGGTGATGATGACGACGACGACGACGATGTAGGTATTCTGACTACCTCGTCGTTATCATCGTCATCCCCCAATGGCGATTTGGCTGTAAAAGGATCCGGCCTCCCAGGTTTGTAAGGCGCAGCCCACCAAGATTGACCGGCCCCTTCTGTGCTATCACTTGCTGAAGAATCACTCGACGGTGATGACATTGAGATAGTCGTATCACCGTTCGCATTTTTTGTTCTTTTTATGGAAGCTGCAGACAGATACGCTTCCACAGGAGGAGAAGTTTGGTGAATCAGAACCGATAGAAGAATCATCTGAACCATCCATGTTGTCGTTATCATCGTCGTCAGTATGGCGGTATGCTTCATTGTGGCCCCATACCCGCAGTCGTTTATATTATGATACTATATAGGTCTCTTGTTTCTAATTGCTGTTGTGATGGCTTCGAGTAATAAAAGAAAAACTGCAGTATTACTAGTACATCATTCTGACACCCACAAAAAATAGCGATGCGTCAGCGAGTTTTGGTCGCATTGATTAGATTGATGATTCTTTTCTGGATTGATTCAATTGACTAGATGCGTATTCGGACTGTTCGAAGATGTCTCAAACCACGCAACGCAACGCAACGCAACGCAACCACCATCCGCTAACCACGTGTATTATTACATTTGCGTATATGTGTCAGCTAGGGCGAGAGATCCTGTTGATAAAAAAAATCCCGAAAGCCGTACAACACTAACTCTACATCTTACAGAAACTCATTAAGCAATCGTGCTCAGCTATTCTAATCCTACTTGCCCATTTTCCGAGATAGCCAACCACCTTTCTTCGCTGGCTCTTTCTTCTTCTCGGTGGCTCCCTTCTTCTTGGCTGGTGCTGATTTCGTTTTATTTTTACCTTTTTTATCCGCGGCGTCTTCTTCCTCTCCTCCTTCAGATTTTTCGAGATTCTTAATGTGCTTCTTAACCACTTTCAGAGCAGCTTTCATTTCCTCAATATGACTGTCGGCCTCTTCTTTGGTCTTAAATTTTTTCTTCATCCGCACCATACATTCTTGTAACACATCCACATCTGGTTTGAAGTGCGACCACTCACTGAACTCCCTTGCTTGCAACTTCTTGATTGACTTGTTGCATCCTTCAATGAACTTTTCGTCCATATTGCGGAGTGTCACATAGTCCTTCAGATCCGCCTTGTCTACCAGTGGCCGGACCTTGTTCAGTACCCGTTCTAAAATGTCAAACTGCTCCATGATTTCGTCATCCGACAAAAGCAATCCCTCCGTTTCCAAAAGCTGAGAACATGCCTTGCCTTCTTCAATGTATTCCTCCACCTTGTGTACTCCCTTGACAGCCTGTCGTCTTCTGACAAGAAATTCTTCACAGTACTTCCATTCGTTCAAAGAATCCGCTCGACTGTCAACTTCCGATAATATACGAAGCGTGGATTCCTTGACAATATCTTTCGCACCCTTCAGCATGGGGACAAAATGATTATTCTTGAAATCCATGATGAAGTCCTTGTTGTAGTCATCTGGATACTTTTGAATGTCATATAACCGATCAGTCACTTCCAAGATTACTTCCTTCATGGAATCCCAGTCTTCCAGGGGAAGCTGGGCCAACCGTTCATCCGTCTCCTCCCATTCGTCGATCATCTCTTGCACAAAGGCACCCTTGCCCATTAATGGTGGGCCTTCTCCCTTACTCTTTTTTCCAGCTGCTGGCTTGCCACGGCTGGCATCATTACTCTTCTTTCCTCGAAAGAGTGGCATATTCGACGATGATTCTTCTTCTTCCTTGGGA